CCAAATAAGCACCTGACATAATGGGATCTTCATAGTACGTGAACTCAGGTTGCCGCAGGTCACTACATTGATTGTGAAATCATCCGTCGAGATCTACAACATGGTTGTCCCGTGTTCGTCGCTTTGGTGTAGCAACCTACGACTGATCCTGTAATCAGGTAATGAGTGAGCGTCTACACCGTCTACACCCAAACGAACACTCACTCACAAAAGTACATGAACACCGAATATTATGGAATGTCAAAAATTTTGACAACTCCACTAGCCACGCGGCTGGGACCTTACGCCAGCAAGAGAAACTTTTCGACAACATCGCGACATCGTCCTTCTTCGCACGTTTCTTCGGCTTGCCGTCCTTCGGGCCGCTCCTTTTCGAACCGCTTTTGGTTTTCGACTGCTCACTCATGAGTTCCTCGTCCGGATCGTCTGGAGCACGCGCATCGAATGCCTGCCCGTCCAGGAAAGAGGTCAGGAGCCCGCTCGCCATAGCGAACAGTTTGAAGCTCGCTACAGCGTGGATGCCGAATGGTGCCAGAGCCCACCGTCTACACACAGGAGCTCTCACATCTATTCAACATGATCTCGTCAAGAAGCAAGCATGACCCGGGCTACTCACAGCTGCGCTACTGAAGGCACTGTCGTGTCACCTGTGTCCCTGTGGCATCGACAGAACAGGCCGCTTGTCCGCAATGCTGCTAGTGGCTGAGCTGGTGCACTCTGTTTTTTTGTTGCTGCAGTTCCCCGATGCGCAGTAGCACGGGCGTTCACGCCAAGTGGCTGCACTGTGTGCAACACAGTTTGGGGTTTCGCCCTAGACATTGACTGCGATGTCTAGCCAAACATGCTGTGACATCAACTGGCCGCAGTATCACCACATCAAGCAACTCAGACCCACACTTCTTCTGATTCCTGACGGTTATCTTACGATGCCTGGAATCCCTTGAACATTGACGTGCTAGTCTGCAATGACAATGCTATGTGACATGATCACAAATGCACCTGTAGCTGTGGTGTGTGATGCGACAGTCCTCTTGTCTTTGGCAACTGTACATTTCCTACAGACCCCTTGCGCTGTGACATGGCTAGTTAGTTAGTAGCCACGCCACAGACAAGGCAACCCTCGATAGGCGGGCTATAGCAGGACGTGTCCCGACCATTCAATCCGGTGTTGCCTGCTTGCTTAGATTCCCCAAGCAATACGCTAGGCTGCTGTCCTGCAGATCTAGAGGAGGTCCCGCACGCCGGCTCCGGGTAGCAAAGCAACACCATCCCCCTCGGGTGGTCCAAAGCACGACAAAGCAATCAGCTGCATGATGCCACACGTCGTGAAGTGCATAGCGTTGCCGAGCAGGTCACCTGCCCTGGCCACGTCCGTGGCCCCAAGTGCTGGCACAGACATGCTCTCGGCCAACTCCTTGGTACAAGGGAACCCCATGGAGACCAAGCGTTCCTTGGCAGTCATCCATCTCTGCATCGATGGCAGCCAGTACTTTGCGTGCTTGTTACGGCGGTACGTGGGGATTGCGCTGCTCACCGCACTCCAGGTGCAATACTCTGCAGTGTCTCCCAGGTAGTACACTAACTCTGGATTGGAACTGGGCAGCGCACCATACCTCTCTACGTACCGAAAGTCCAAGCCTTGTTTCGTGGACAACTCCCTCTCGCTAAGCAGGTAAGCGAGATTTGTGACGCCTGGCCGCAAGGAGAGGCCCCGGCGTGACGCTACCATTCCAGCTTCCATCTGGATCTCGGCCGCAGACGCCACAAGATAGTCTGATACCTTTGCACAGACATGCTTGCGAAACGATGTTGTCAGCAGGTCTTGTAACTCAAAGGGATCTCGTAGGCACGTTGAGTACCGTTGGTGAGACCCGATGACCCATGTCCTGTAACGGGCTGTCCCAAAGAAGCCGACATCGGCCGGCTCACTGAACAGCTGATAGAAGTCATGATCCGGGTGAGTGTCCTCCAGCATGCC